ATAGAATTAGTACTATACCAACCAGACTACCGAAAGGCTAGACAAATAAAAATAAAAGATCTAAAATGTCAAGAGAAAGAATGGAAGTAAAAGTAGGAATAAGGAGAAATAGCACCTCATTACCTCAAATTATATTATAAAACTGTAATCATCAAAATTATTGAATATTAGTTAGGAAATAGAAAGGAGATGTTAGAACAGGCTAGACAAGGAAGAATCAGAAATATTTTAACTCAATTACCCTGTCTTCAACAAACCTGAAAACATAAATTACCTAGGAGAAAACTCTCTATTTAATAAGAATTGCTGGGACAACTAGAGAGCAGTTTGGCATAAATTAGGCTTCGACCAACATATACCATAGTAAACTCAAAATGTATATGTAACCTACACAGTAACAAAAAAAAATTAGCAGTACACCAGATGAGGTACCTCCCATAGCTATGATTAGGATTCTTAATTTTTAAAAATGACTGATCACAAAAGATAAAATAGACAATTTCAATTACACGAAACTGAAAATAAGAGTAGTGGTTGATGGATAAAAGAAATCTTTATATCAAAGATCTTTGAGAGAAGGGTCTGGTATCTAATATGTAAAGGTAACCAAGAGAAAGAAATAAGACCGAAAGCTACTCTTCAGTAAATAAAAGATCAAATGGCATGGACAAATGGATCTCAGAAGAACTGCAAGCTATAAAAGCTATGAGAAAAATGCCCCAAGTCACAAAAAAAATGCAAATCAAAACAACCCATTTTTTGACTCATAGCTATCAAATTGGCAAAGATAAAAAAGATGGTAATAATCTTGTTGGAGGAGTTGTGGAAAGATAAGCACACTGGTATACTATTGATGGAACTATGAATTGGTGCAGCATTTCTAGAAAGCAGTTTCAAAACATGCTAAGGAAGTGACTAAGATAGTCCATATTTTGACCAAAAGGTCAATAATAAAAAAAGAATGTCTGCTTAAGACAAGATTGCAGAATACGAGGAAATAATATAGCCAGTGTCTCCCAAAAAACACAAAATGTGTCCAAAAATGTCTAGAAAACATTTCTGACCAAGTTTTTTTTTTTTTTAAGGCAATTGGGCTTAAGTGACTTGCCCAGGGTCACACAGCTAGTAAGTGTCAAGTGTTTGGTCTGAGGCCAGATTTGAACTCAGGTCCTCCTGACTTCAGGGCTGGTACTCTATCCACTGTACCACCTAGCTGCCCCTGACCAAGTTTTGATTGAGAAATACAAGGAAAAAAATCACACTGCGTCATTTTTTCTAGTCCAAATAGTCATAAGGAGATAGAGAGGCCTACAGACACTGGGCATGGAATCTAGCCAAGAAAAGATGTACAGAGCATAGTGCAAGGACTAAGTGAGGGCCTGCCTGCAACAGTTCATCAAGGCATGAATAAGGCTCAGATCTAGAAGAGGGGTCTGACTTTGGGATCAGAAACCGGGACCACCTGGCAACTCTGTTGCCTACTGCTGGTATATAATAGCACAGAATGATGAGAGACCTTGCACCTGGGGCTAGTGAATATCAAGGAGCAGTCATGAGCCCTAGGCTGTGAACTGAGGAATGTACAAGTACAGAAACAAGCAAAGGTAGTGTCTCTTATCTTAGGAGTGTAGTGGGGTAGAGTGTCAGATTCCAGCCCCTAGCCAGGTCGGCAGCCTGTAGCAGAATAATCAGGGCAAGAAGCCCAAACCAAAAGAGGGCCTGCAGTTCTAACATTCTGAATCTGTGGAGCTTTTCAGCTGGCTAATCGTGATTGACTCCAGCAAAAGTTCACTGGAGCTCCAGTCAAGGGTAAACCCATAGTTGTGTTGCTTAGAGACCCAAGCCCAGATCTCAGCTGAGAACCTTGCTCATACTTTGCAGAAAAAACTGAGGCCATGTGCTGAGAACTTCCTCTTCTCCTGTCCTTCTCATCTCCCATTTTCCAGATGCCATCTGCCACTTTCTCCACCTTTACCCTTGTCTCACTTGAAGAGATGACCCATCTCCTTATAAAGGCAAACCCTCGTACATGCACAAGTGATCTCATTCCTTGCTGACTTCTGTAGAAGATTGCCCACTCTGTCATCTTCACTCTCTCACTTATCTTCAGTTTTTTCCTGTCTCCTGGCTACAAACATCCCCATGTCTCCCACATCCTCAAAAAATTAAACTTCTGACTTTGTGTTAGGACCAGGCTCTATTAAATACTTCTGTAGGAAATGGCTGTGCTGTGCTTGGTCTTGTTTTGTGCGCTCTTGGGTCCTGAGGCTTGTTTCTTGCTGTAATGAGTGTAATGTTACTCTAAGATTTGAGACAGCTGAGGCTGGGAACTCTCACAGTGGTCTGATCCAGGGTCTATGAAGTCAATAAATATTTATTAAGTGCCTTCTATGTGTCAGGCTCTGTGCTGAGGGCTGGAGGGCATTCCCTGCCCTCACAGAGCTTATAATCTCTTGAAGGAAGACAACACTCAAAAGGAGGAAGTAGAGGGGGACAGAGAGAAGGGGAACACAATGGGGTACATCTGTATGCCTCCCTCTAATCAGAGGAGAGAGGAGGCTACAGGAATTGGAAGTTGAGTATCCAAGGCTGAGTAAGCACCATGATGAAGAGATTTCAAGTGATCAGCTTATCCTGGAAGAGACGTCTTATTACATGGATTTGAAACCAAACAGAGCAGCAAAACAAATTCCAATATTGGCCATATCTAAAAATGTGTTTTATTCTGCATTTTAATGTATTACCTGTCTCTCAGGAGATGAGTAGCATTCTTCACCCAATATATCTACCTATTCTTAAGCAGTTTCAGTTTCTTTTGATGATTACAGTTTTGTAGTGTAGTTTGATGTCTGATCCTCCTAGACCCCTTTCCTTCCCAATTTTTTTCCATTATATCCTTGAGATTCTTGACCAGAGGAAGAACTGATGCAGTCTGAATGCAAATGGAAGCATACTATTTTCACTTTCTTTGGGGATTTTTTTGTGATTCTTTTTCCTTTTGTTTTGTTTCTTCTTTCACAACGTGACTAATGTGGAAATATGTTTAACATGATTGCACATAACAAAACCTATATTAAATTGCTTGCCAGCTTGGGGAGGGGAGAGGGGAGGAAAGTAGGGAGAAAAATTTAGGACTCAAAATCTTGTAAAAAATTAATGTTAAAAACTTTCTTTACATGTAGTTGGAAAAAAAATAAAATACTCTTTACATTAAAAAAAAGAGATTCTTGATCTTTTCTTCCTACATATAACAAAGTAATTTTCTAAAGTACAGATGTGACTTTGTCATTCTTCTGCTCAAACTCTAGCAGCTCCCTATTTCATCAAGGATCAAATTTCACATCTAACATTAAAAACTCTTCACAGCAGAGCCCCATTTTGTCTTTCTTGCCTTCTTTCGTGTTATTCCTTCCATCCAACCACCCTGGCCTACTTGCCGTTCTTCACAGGTGATGCTCTCTTATCTCTGTGCCTTTGCACTGACTGCCTTCCATGCCCAGGATGTACTTCCTTCTTACCTCCACCTCTTGGTATCCCTTTCCTTCAAGATTCCATTCAAATACCACCTTCTATGTCAAGCCTTTCCTACTCCTCCCAGGTACTAGTTTCTTCCTTTCCTAAGGTACTTTATATGTATATCCACTTTATATGTAATATACACATTACATATAAATTGTGTGTATGTGTGTGTGTGTGTGTATCTACATGTGTGTATATATATATATATATATATATATATATATATATATATGGAAAGAGAGAGAGCGAGCTATACATGTATATATTGTCTTCCCTGTTAGAATATAGTTCCTTGATGGCAGAGACTGTTTGTCTTTGATATTTTTGTTACCTAGTACAAACACCTCATACTTAGTAGACACTTAATAAATGCTTAATTGCTTGATACTGTAAGTCAGATATTTGCACTCTTAAAGCTGTGTCTAGGCAGTGTAGTACAGCTGAGAAGTTTATCTTCCTGTTGGAAATACCTTCCCTCCTTCCCCTCAACCTCAAACCCACACTTTCCATTTTTCTCTCTGGGTAGAAAGAGATGTAATAAATTAATCTACATTAAAGTCATAAAGCTGTATTTAGAGCTGAAAGAAACCTAAGAGGTTACCTGACCCAATTCCTTCATTTGATAGATAAAAGAACTAAGGGCCAAAGCGGTTGAGTGACCATCCCCAGGTCACACATTCTGCAAGGAAAGATTTGGAATTATGTTGTCAGATCAAAAATCTAATACTCTTCACAGCAGCACACTTCTTTACTCCTAGACAGTATTTAGATTCCTGGAAGTATTTATTATCTTTTTATTTATTCAGTATACATTTATATGTGCATATTATATATATGTGTATCCATATGTAGATATATCCATGTCACATATATACAACAATGTATATATGCAAGTTTTACATATATATTTTATAATATTTATGTTCACACATTAAATTGTTTTCCACATTAGACTGCAAATTCTTTTAAAATAGGCATTGGTTGATTTATTGTATTCAGAGCTATACAATACTTGACATAGTAGGTGCTTAATAAATACTTGTTGATTGGTTGATTGATTGATTGATAAAAAGATACCTGAAAGGGTCCACTTACAAAAAAATGACTAGGTTTGGGATTTCAAAGATTAAGAGTGATAGTTTTTGAGAGCGAGAGAGAAGGAACTTTTTTTGTGTTCTTTCTTCTATCATGTGTATCAGAGGTGTCCAACAGGTGGTACCCAATACTCTTTACTGAACTAGATTTAAATATAATTGGGAAAAATTTAACAAAATAAATAAAAATACAATAGAACATAGATAATGTTGATATGTGGTTTTCTGAGTCAATATACAATAGCATGGGATCTTTAGGTACAGTTTAGTGGCCTCATTTCTATTTGAATTTGACACCACTGGTATAGATGATTGCTTATTTCACCCAAGTATAAGGGTAGTCCTAACCATTTCATGTCGTATTTTTTGTTGATGACTTTTTTTCAGACTGAACGAGCATATTCCTTTTGTGGAACAATAGAATATATGGCACCTGATATTGTCAGAGGAGGAGATGCAGGACATGATAAGGTATTCTTTATTTTGACCTTCCTTTTATTGATTTCTTTATATAAAGGTTTAATAATAAAAGTTTTAGCTAACTAAGTTGTCTCTCTGACAGTCATTTCATTCAGTTCATTTGTCTATATGGACATTCTTATCTTTGATACCCTTCTTTACTTAGTATGCCGGAAGACTAGGTAGTATAGTAGATAGAGTGCCAGACCTGGAGTCAAGAAGACCTGAGTTCTAATCCAGCCTCAGATATTTACTAGCTATGTAACTGTAGGCAAGTCACTAAATCTCTTTGCCTCAGTTTCCTCATCTGTAAAATAGGTATAATAATAGCAACTACTTCCCAGGCTTGTTGTGAAGATCAAGTGAATTAATAATTATAAAGTGCTTAGCACAGTGCCTGGCAGTTAACTATTGTCATTATCATTTTTATTATTAAAGTTATCTAATGCTTTGTTGGACAAATGTGCCATGTATATGAACTTGTTCATCTCTTATTGATCATGGTTTTGTAATTCAATTATTATGCATTCATTGTTATAAATTTACCTAGATACCCACTATATTGTCAGGGGTATGTTTATACTGACTTGAGAGAGCTGATTGTTAAATTTTCAATGTGAGTGTTTATACTTTTTAAATAGGCAAATGCTACAAATCAGGGGTTGATTTATTGTTTGCAATTAGAAAATTATGGAGAACATTTTAATGATGGAGGTTAAACTTAAAAGTATATAATGCATACTTTTTTTTCAGAGAGCCAATTATTAAATTATCTGTATTCCCTGCCTGTATTCTCCAGATGTTATATCATTATAATTTTGTTGTCTTTCAAATCATCTGTTATTGATTGTAGTCTGAAAAGTAGTACATAGAAATTATGATTTTGTATTAAAAAGAACTTCTTTGTTGCCTGTATTGTAAATTTTTGTGATATCCTTGTGTACTTGAAAAAAATGTTCTTTATCTGATCATTTCCTTTAGTTCTTTTCAGATGTCTTGTAGTTTCAAGTTGTTAATGTTGTTAATATTTAGACTTGTTAATTTTTTTTTGTTTTAAAGATTTCATTTTTTCTAATTAGATGCAAAAACAATTTTTAACATTCATTTTTTTAAATTTTGAGCTCAAAAATTTTTCCTTCTGTCCCTCACCTCTTCCTTCCCGGAGATGGCAAGCAGTTTGATGTAGATTGTACATGTGTAGTCATACAAAGTGTATTTTCATATTAGTCTTGTGAAAAAACAAAAAAAAAACCCAATCCATGAAAAATAAAATTAAAAAAAAATTTGCTTCAATCTGCATTCAGACTCCATCAGTTCTTCCCCTGGAGGTGGATAGCATTTTTCATCGTTAAGTCCTTTGGAATTTTCTTGGATTATCATATTGCTGAGAATAACTGCCTTATTCATAGTTGATCATTGCACAATATTGCTATTACTATGTACACTGTTCTTCTGGTTCTGCTCACTTCACTTTGCATCAGTTCATGTAAGTCTTTCCAGGTTTTTCTGAAAGCATCCTGCTCATCATTTCTTATAGCACAATAGAATTCCATCACAATCATATACCATAATCTGTTTAGCCATTCCCCAGTTGATGGGCATACCTTAAATTTCCAGTTCTTTGCCACCACGAAAAGAACTGCTGTAAAGGTTTTCTATATATAGGTCCTTTTCCTTTTTTTTTTTTAATCTCTTTGGGATACCTAATAGTTGTATTGCTTGGTCAAAGGGTATGCATGGTTTTATACCCCTTCAGGCATAAACTGCTTCAGAATGGCTGAATTAGTTCACAATTCCACCAACACTCCTTAGTGTCCCAATTTTCCCATGTCCCTTCCAATATTTGTCATTTTCCTTTTCTGTCATATTAATCTGATAAGTGTGATATGGTATGTCAGAGTTGTTTTAATTTGCATTTCTCTAATGAATATTTATTTAGAACATTTTTTCATATGACTGTAAATAGCTTTGATTTCTTTATTTGAGAACTACCTGTTCCTGTCCATTGACCATTTATTAATTAGGGAAGGACTTGTATTTTTATAAATTTGACCCAGTTGTCTATATATTTGAGAAATGAGGCCTTTATCAGAGAAACTTGTTAGAAAATTTTTTCTGCAGTTTTAATTACTGTGTATTTCCCTCCATCCTATTTTCCCCATTTATCCTTCCCTCTCTCTCTCTCTCCTTCCACCCTATCCCTCCTCCAAAGTATTTTGCTTCTGACCACCATGTCATCCGGTCCTCCCTCCGTTCTATCAGTCCTACCCTTCTCTTATCCCCTTCTCTTCCTACTTCCCTGTTGGGTAATGTACATTTCTATACCTAACTGAGTGTGCATGTTATTCCCTCTTTGAGCCAATTCTGATGAAAGTAAGGTTCAAGCATTATCCACCACCCCTCACATCTTCCCCTCCACTGTAAAAGCTCTTCTGTGCCTCTTTTATGTGGGATAATTTACTGCACTCTACCTCTCCCCTCCCCCTTCTCTCAGTATATCCCTTTTTCTCATCCCTTAATTTTATTTTTTTAGATACCATCCCATTATAGTCAATTCATACTGATGCCCTCCATGTATACTTCTTCCAACTGCCCTAATAATGATAAAGCTCTTAGGAATTACAAGTATCATCTTCCCATGCAGGGATGTAAACAGTTTAACCTTATTGAATCCCTTATGATTTTTCTTTCCTGCTTACCTTTTTATGCTTCTCTTGAGTCTTGTATTTGAAAGTCAAATTTTCTATTCAGCTCTGTTCTTTCCATCAGGAATGCTTGAAATTCATCTTTCATTAGGTGTCCATTTTTCCCCCTGAAAGATTATAGTCATTTTTACTGGGCAGGTGATTCTTGGTTCTAATACTAGCGCCTTTGCCCTCCAGAATATCATATCCTAAGCCCTCTGATCCTTTAATGTAGAAGCTGCTAAATCTTGTGTTAGCCTGACTGTCGTTCCATGATATTTGAATTGTTTCTTTCTGGCTGCTTACAATATTTTCTCCTTTACCTGGGAGCTCTGCAATTTGGCTGTAATATTCCTGGGAGTTTTCATTTTGAAATCTCTTTCGGAAGGGGATTGGTGGATTCTATCAATTTCTATTTTAACCCTCTGGCTCTAGAATATCAGGGAAGTTTTCCTTAATAATTTCTTCAAATATGATGTCTAGGCTATTTTTTTGATCATGGTTTTCAGGTAGTCTAGTAGTTCTTAAATGATTTCTCCTTGATCTATTTTTCCAATGAAATATTTCACATTTTCTTATATTTTTTTCATTCTTTGATTTTGTTTTATTGTTTCTTGATGTCTCATGGAGTCATTAGCTTCCTGTTGCCCAGTTCTCATTTTTAAAGAATTATTTTCTTCAGTGAGCTTTTGTTACTGCTTTTCCATTTGGCCAGTTCTATTTTTTAAGGAATTCTTTTCTTCAGTGTTTTTTTGTACATCTTTTTCCATGTGGCTAAGTCTGCTTTTTAAGGAGTTCTTCTCTTCAGAACTGTGTATGGGCAATGCAGAGTCCTGTGTTGAGTAGCAGCAAAGGGATCCCTGTAATCTCTTTGTGACCAGTAGTCCAACCCTTTTATTGTCTGTGGGCTGAGAAATCTGGAAGATAATGCTGCTGATTCAGTTGGACTGTGCTCCACTCTCACCCTAGTGAAACAAATATTTTCTGCCAACCTTCTAAGTTTTCTTGGGCTAGAAAATTGCTTCATTCTATTCTTTTGTTGTTGGTTCTGCCGTTCCAAAGTTTGTTTTGAGATATTATTTTAAAATTGTTTGGAAGTGAGTCCCTGCCTTTATTCCACCATCTTGACTCCACCTCTGTTGCTTAGTTTGAATTATCACATTCTTATGCAATTTTGTTAATATTGTTAGATTTCTCTCTTATCATATATTGTCTTGTCAGTTTTTCTTTTATGAATTTAACTCACGTTATTTATGTAGAAAAGTAAAATTCACATTCAGTATTCCATTCAGTAGTGTAATCATGCTCATTTATTCCATAGCTTAATATCTCAGGACTGAATAGAACTTAAAAATCAGCTAATCTAATCCCCTCATTTTACAGACAATGAAACTTAAGGCACAGGGAGATAAAGTGATTAGGTTGGGGGGAGGAAGGACTCTGCTTGTGGAAGGAGCAAAACAAGTTCCAGAAACCTCACTTTGTGGCTCTGAGCCCAAGAACAGAATGAGGACTCAGCTCTAACTTTTGGTCCTGAACATAAGCCTGCAGAGGAATAAACCAGAGCATGCAACCAAGATGAAGAGAGCCAGCAGGTTAGAAACTCTGAAACTGCAGAATCTTCCAGATGCTTATAGTGACTGAGTCCTGCTGCAACCGCAGAAGCACAATCCACAAACCCAAATAAGGTGAGGAACTTGCAGCACATAGAACCGGAAGACAGTGAACAGATCTCTCCTCAGATCACAGCACATTGGAAGAACTGACAACGTAAATAGCACCAGACTGAGCTGTGAAAACAGCAGAAGGACATAAAAAGATAGAAGCTCAGGCCAGATATTTCTCCCCCCTCCCCCAACAACTGAGCAGAGCCCAATGCAACATAAAGTCCAAAGTCAAGAAATGGACTGGAATGAGCACAGAAGACAATGATGTGAGAACATCTACACACAAAGCATTAAAAGAAAATTGCAGATTGGACACATGCCCAACAAGAATTCCTAGAAGATGTAAAGAGATTTTTTTTAAAAAAGCAAAAAAGAAAAAAGATTTAAAAATCAAATGAGTGGGGGAAAATTGAGGAAAGAAATGAGACCTCAAAAGTCTCTTCAGGGGAGAAGAAGAGCCAAAAGTTCTCAGACCTTGCCACTTGTGTCTTCCATCTCCTGATGGACACAGTGTGTCTCCTAAGGAAAGGTCTCAAGGGCTAGCCCAAGAGTCTTCCATCTGCCCCAAAGGACTTACCTTATACAAGGAGTCTACTACTTGTTTTACTGACTCCTTGACAGCCTCTTCAGGTGAGAAGTTGAGGCAGAAGTTCCTGATCCT